TTTCGTATGCCATCCAACCAGATTGCTGAATATACGGAGCCAAATCCTCCTTTCCCAATTTTTTTAATGTTAGATAAATAAGGAGTCAATAAATAAAAAATATTAGAAGTAGGATTTTATATATTACGCATCATTTGTAGAGGTTTCATTGTAAGTTGAAGATTCCACTTGGGATGATGATTCATTTGGGCAAGGTTTGTCATAATATGGATCACCTTGGTATGATTCATTAGAATATAATTTATTTTGGTATGAATCACTTTGATACGATTCATCTTGGCACGGTTTATCTTGGTACGATTCATCTTGGTACGATTCATCTTGGTACGATTCATCTTGATTCAGGTAAGATTCATCTTGAATCAAATTCTGGTACAAATCATCAGAGTAAAATTCACCATAGTACAAAAATGGTGGTCCACTCTCTTCAAATTCATCTTGAGAATACGACTTGGTTGATATTGAAGTTTATGTGAATTACCTTGATATTCTAATGTAAAAATAGCCAATTTTTTCTACACGTGTATTCTTTAATATAAGCTGTAATCAGAAAAAAAAAAAAATCTTACTATAAACAAGATCAACAGGAGCCTACTGGTAAAAAAAAAATTTTTTTTTCTAAACGAGTACAGTATATATATTATATATATATATATATTTTTTTTTTAAAAAAAAAAAAAAAAAAGAGCTGCTTTTTCTGAAAAAAAAAGCGTAATCTAAACGCAGTACAGTATATATATATGTATTTTCTAAACGCAGTATAAGTTATATAATTTTTTTTTTTTTTTTAAAAAAAAAAAAAAAAAAAAGTGCGTAATAAAAGTTTTTTTTAGTAAATGCTTTTTCTCAGGCTCCTGGGATTTTTTCAGACTTTTTCTCATACTTTTTTCTCATACCTTTCTAAAAAAAAACGAAAGCTTTAAAATACGTACAAGTTTAGACGCAGGCTTTTACTAAATGCAGCAGATTTTAACTTTTTTATTACGTATTATAGGTCTTTATTACGTATTATAGGTAGAGTTGCTGGTGCAAGTGGTGCACCATTGTTGCACTATTAAGTTATTATATAAAGTTAAAGCATTGTAGCAGTGGCGACGCTATCTGCACCAGCAACTCTAATTATAGGTCTTTATTGTTTGCTATCCTTGTTCGTTCTGGTTAGGAAAAAAAAAACTAAGAATAGGTAGGCGTAATCATGATATATTCACATAATATTTAGCAGATTTTGGCGGAGTTTGCCAACCTATTCTTTAGAACATCCAAAATGAGAAATCAGCCAATCAACGTATAGTATTATAATGGACCGGACCGGGTATTACCCAGGCGGACCTACGTA